GTGTAGAGAGAGCAGCTGTGTTGGGCCCGCAGGGTCACAGGTTAAAGGCCATGAACATTCTGAGGGTAAAATCAAGGTCATCTGTGGCCTTTCCTGGAACCTGCAGGGCTGGTTGGAAGCAGACACATCACCTGAGATGGACCCGGTAAGCCTGGGCTCTGCACCCTCTCTCGCCTCAGCCTGAGGAAGATTCTGGAAGGTGGGATCTGCCTCCTTTCGGCCGCATGACTATGAGTGACTTTGCTTCTTCAAACCTGTTTCCTTTTCTGTAAAATCTCACTGCCTGGGACCATCACAGGATTACATGAGGTGACATGTGGAGCTGCGAGCATGCTGTCTAGCAGAGTATAGGTGTGCTCTATTATGATGCTGCCGCTGATGGAAAACCTCTGTGTGCGGTCCAACCTCATGGGGCTTGCGGTCTAGCTGGCCAGGGAGCTCAACATGCACCACTGTGACCTGTGTGGAGCAGGCTGCAACTGCAGAGCATGGGGACAGTGTTTGGAAGGGCCCTCGTGGCCCCCAAGTGGACCCGGCAGCAGGACCCTGTGGTGGGGAATTGGTGTCGTATGTCTGCGGGTGCAGGCGATCTTGTCCCTGGGATTTTCCAGGCAAGAATAACTGGAATGGGTTGCCGTTTCCTTCTGCAGTGTATGCTTAGTGACTTAATTACTGCCTGGCTGCCCCAGGCTTGCCCCAGGCTGTTTTTCCACCAGTGTATTCAGAAGGGGTCCTGTGTGCCCAGCTCTGCCCCACACTGGGCATTTCCCACTCTATCGGTGTACCTTTCTGTTGAGGTAAAGAACTGTCTTGCTGCTCTCATGGGCATTCCTCCAAGTCCCACGAGCATGAGCATCTCGCTCAGGCCATTAGTCCTGCGGACTTTTACGTCTCTGGAGTTACCACTTCACACCTTTGCCCATCTCCCCCAGGGATCTCCCTTTCATGTTGATATTAATATATAGGATTTCCTGGGATATTTCAGATTTTAGTCCCTTGTCAACACTGTCTACTTGCCAAACGAGTAGTCAGCATATGAATCTGTTAATTTTGTCCGTGTTGTTGGTTTCAGAACAGAAATCCTTAATTTGTGTGTGTGTGTGTGTACACTCATGGCTTTTACTTCTGAAAGTTTGCTTAAGGGATCCTCCGCTGCCCTAAGTCACAAGGGTGTTTGTCTCCGTTTTCTTCTAGTCTGTCTCTGGTTTAACATTTCACATTTTTATTGAGTGCCTGCTGAGACCCAGTGAGTGGAAGGCAGTCAGGAAAGAATGGTCGATGAGGAAGACAAAGGCCCATGCTGTTAGGGCACAGTCAGAAGGTGTGTGGGGTTGTGTGTTGTGGGCTCTGGTCTGCACACGGGCAGAGGAGCCAGCTAGGGGAGCACAGGGTGGTCTGGGCCCTGGGCCTAGGAGCCCCTCTGTGCTGTGCATCGAGTCAACAGCGAGACAGCCAAAAACTCCCTCGGGCTCCTGGGGGCACCCAGACTCCACCGGGATTCTTTGTGATATTGAGCCACGGGCGTGAAGGTTCACGCCTCAGGGCCGAGGCAGCATGGGGTGGGAGAGCATGAGCTTTGGGGTGTTCTACCCCGTTCTCTTCTCACTCGGGCCACTGGATTCACCCTGGAGCTTTGGTTGTAATCAGGTAATTTGTCTGGGAAATGGGCTTGATGGTCACCAACCAAAGAGAAACGTAAAAGTAGCAAAGTGGAAGATGTCTCTGATGTGACCGTCTAGGTTCCCTGACCTGTAGGCCCACAGTTCCCATGGGAGATGGTAACTGAGCCGGCAGTGGGGGTGGACGGGTGGCAGGAGCTGTGCACCCGTGTTCACATTCCCGCACATCCACTTGGGGTTCTGGGGGGGTCCCACTGACGTGCTTCCAAATCCTCCAGCCTTCCTGTTGCCTTTGGCCACCGTGTTCCACAGAAAGGAGTTGGCCAAGGTAAACAGGCCGTGAAGTCAGAGAAGCAAACCTTCTCCAGTGTCCTTGTGAGAGGCAGCTCCAGACTGTTTACACCCAGAGGATGCATGAGGAACTGGTGCAACCTGTTTGAACCACCCTTCCCAGCACCCCTGTAATTACAAGCCCGCTGGATTTCGGGCAGAGTCCACCGTCTCTGCTCTGATCCCCTATTATGCAGATGTTTCTGCCAACTCCAGCCTCAGACTCCGTTTAGCTGACCCAAACAAACCAAGGCTCGTCTGACGCTGGGTTCTCAGGCCTGGGGGCAGAGGAGAGCCAGACACACAGGCAGCCCAGACCCAGTGGGGGCCTGTGGGTAGGAAGGGTAGAGCAGCTGAGATGCGCTTAGTGCAGTAGGACAGTGGGCCGGTCAGGTTTCCGGGGAGCCCCAGGTAGGACCAGGCGGTTGGGTGGAGGGAGGCAGGAGAGTGGTTTCTGGGGAGCTCTGGGAAGGATGGGTTCTGCTCCTTCTGCATGATGAGTCCAGCCTGCGGGAACCACCACCTGCGGTGCCCGGGACCTAAGTCTTGCTGCCTCTGTCCGCCCCCACCTGCCACCTGGAGGACAGCGTGCTTCCTTTCTCCTGCTTTCCTGCTCCCGTCCCCACTGTTGTACCCCAGAGTCAGCAGGTTACTCAGACCTACCCTCCAGGGCTTCCCCCTCCTACACCCCACCATTCCCTGAGTACAGCACCCCTCAGGATGATGGCCCGACCCTCAAGATTTTTCACTGTCTGACTGACCCCACCTCCCACGCCACCCACTGCACCCAGCCCCGCACCAAGTCTCTAGTCGTCCCCCAGCGTTCTGTGTGCATGCTCAGGTTCTGGTGGACTTCTCAGGGCCATGTCTCCATGCTGTCAGACTATCTTCATTCTGTCAACACCCTGCTCTCTTCTTTGTGGTCTGTGGAGGTGGAGATGGATTGATACCTGATGAATGTCCCTGTGTGTGGACTGAAGTGATGGCCTGTCTCCAGCCCACATGCAGCCTTTGCCCTGAGCAGAGAGCAGCAGGCAGATGTTGCAGGGGTGTCTGGGTGCCTGTTGTCGTGAACACTCCCCTGTCCCCTTGGCCCCAGCAGTGCCAGCATTTAAACCTATATGCTTTCAGAAACATCCTTTGCATTCCTTGCTGCTTTTCAGATTTCTAGAGTTGTCATTTAAAGATGAACGGTATTTATGTACGATATATGCCAATGCAAAGGGCTGTACCTGTGTGTACCTTGTTAAGAAACATCTTTTCCTTTTCCCTAAAGCTTTCCACAAGAGTTTTGAAAAGCAAAGAGGTAGACAGGTTTCTGGGGAGCCAACATATTTTAATACTGATTGCCAATTTGAATATTTTTGGTAACAGTGAGATGAAAACCAGGTCTGCATCATGATTTCATGTTGGCTGTCAAGTCTGTGTCGAGCTGTCACTGTCTTAGCTCTTTTTGCCACCAGTTCAGCAATACCAAGTTTGTGTTTTGTTGATTATGTTTTTCCTCCTGATGTAAATTTCAAAATGACAGCAAGGCCCTATTTTAAGGGAAGGGAACATGTGAAGTCACTTCTGACTGGTTGTGAAATGCTTGCTTTCTCCTTCCTAAAAAGGGGCTGCTAAAGGATGGAGTTGGAAGCTCAGGTTCAGCTTCTGTGTCTTGGTGAGCTGCTGTTCCCCAGGATTCTGGTTCCCATGGGAGTGGGGCCATCTCAGCCTGTCCAGAGTTCTGGCCTCAAGGACAGCTTTTCCTGAAGGGACCATAGTCCCCTGCTCTACCAATGCCCATCTCCATGTGTTCTGTCTCTTTGCAAGATCTTCCTGCTGCTCCACTGTAGCCTCTTCACCTGGCTAACTCAGCACGAGATGGAGGAACTCAGGTCATTTGAACTGTTCATCAGTCAGAGGTACAGGGCAGAGAGAGGACTGTACCCTTTTTGGTAGAAGTGTGTACTAGTCTTCCATGTTCTCTAGGAACATCCAGATCGACCCTAAACAGAGATGAAATACGAGAGTGCTCAGCCAGGCAGAGACCTTTAGAAATTGCAAAACTGGAAAAAATGTGACTACGTTTTTTAAAGACAGCGGGAAGAAAGGGTTGCAAATACAGCAGATTATTTTTCTGTCATATTTCCTGCAAGGGCTCCAGCATCAGCTACATGGTATCCTTTCTAATCAGCAGGTCAGAGAATAAAGCACATGAAACGCTTTGATTTTTCACTCCACATTAGCCACTAATATTTTCCCAATTACTCTTATATTATTTATAATTTAGATTAGCTAACTCTCATATGTGAGAAAAAGTAGTCAAGCCACACCTTGGCGCTTGTCAAAGCAGATAGAGCCTGAGCTTTGCCATCAAGCCCCAACCTGGAAGCATGTGGAAAACTCTCAGCAGCAGCCCAGCCTCTAAGGCTGCTACTGTGGGGTCCTGACAAACAGTGAAACTTCCTTGAGCCTTGGTGTCCTCATCTTAACATGGGGACAGTTATTGCTGCTCATTAAGGCAGAGGCAGTATTTGGCGTGTAAAACACATCCTGTGGTGCCTGACATGGTGGGTACTCAGTAGGTGGGAAATAGCGTTTGTTGGCTCTAATTGCGAAGTAATAATCCAGCATATGGTGACATCAAGGCAGTAGACACCTGAGAACCTGCTAATTCCAATAATACTCCAAAGGCATTTAGCCAGGGGTCTCTAATGTTAATTATAAGATCACTTTAATCTGAGCTACTAAAAAATTCTGTTTCTATTGTTGTTTTCCATCTTTCTAGTTAGACATTGCCTACTCTGGGAAGCTGTCCCTGGTCCTCAGTCTGTGAGATCCCCCTTGGGTGCCCTCAGCCCCTCACTTCCCTCCCCCACAAACCTTCTCACACTGGTTTGCTTCCCTCCCTGGCCCATGGGTGGGCCTAATCTCGGTTTTGTCTGCTCCTGCCGGTGGTAGCTTGTCATCTAGCAACGCAGGGGGCCTTTGAAGCGGGAGGGGGCGCAAGCACCCAAGAGCTGGCCGGCGTGGAGGTCCGGCGCTCAGTGTGGCTCTGTCTCCTAGGTCGGGAACTATAAGCGGACCGTGAGGCGGATCGACGACGGCCACCGCCTGTGCACAGACCTCATGAACTGCCTGCACGAGCGGGCGCGCATCGAGAAGGCATACGCACAGCAGCTCACCGAGTGGGCCCGGCGCTGGAGGCAGCTTGTGGACAAGGGTAGGGAGGCCACCACGGGGCATCTGGGGCAAACCGTCCACCCTCTCTGAGCCATCTTCCTCTCTTGGAAGATCAGGGCAGGAGTTTGTCTCACAGTCCGGGGGCTGCGATTTTCTCCCAGCAGCACCAGCCAAGTGAGCTTTCCTCCCCTTTCCTGGGGACACAGGACTGCTGTCCCCAAGCAGCGCCCGAGTCTCCCGTGGCAGTCCTTGTTAGCAGAGGACATGCTGCGCTGGCCGAGTTAACTCAGAGCAGCTCCTCTGGGGCCCAGACTAGTAGCCACCTGCCCAGTCAAGGGCGCTGCTGCTCAGCACCGTGGTCTCTGGCACCGCGGCTGCTTATTTGTAAGTTCAGCCAAGCAGCCAGTCAGGCAAGACTTGACGGTGACATCCGGCAAAATCGAACTCAGTCTGCTACATTGCAGACAGAGTCTTTACCGACTGAGCTACCAGAGAAACCCATTATATGATGCAGGCTTTCTCTCCCCTCCATGCCTTGCAAAACACATAGACGATTCTAGAGCTCAGTGACATGGATGTGTGGATGGTATTGAGAACGTACTTCCTGGTAGTAGAGGGGCAGCTTTATTGACTACAGGATTTCCTGGGAAAGAAGTAGGTTACTGGGCATTTCTCAGGGTGGGTTTTGGGGTGGACTCTTCTACCACAACTGACCATCCTTGCAGGAGCTGACCCGGGGAAGCCAGGCCGGGGCGAGGGGCCCCCAGGCAGCAGGGGCTTAGACTAGCTCCCTGTCTTTCCCCAGCTGCTGAAATGGGTGACCTATGGAGCAGAGTACAGTGCCCTGGTGCAGAGTGGGGTGGCTGTGCGTCGGTGCGGAGTAGCTGGGGTGGGCTGGCTTCTCCAGTAAGCAGTGGCTGTTGTTATTTTATTTCCACCTGCCTGAGTCCCTCTCTCAAGATCCAGCTGTCAGCACCATCCACACTGCTTACTCAGAACCTGAGGTTCATAAGACACTCTTATTTCTGCCTTTGTGGGACCTGGTCCTTGGCAGGACCAGGAGCTGCTCATCTTGTAGACGTGAGAACTCAGAGGCCCTGAGGGGCTAACAGTTACTCGGCATACACACCGTGTCTCTCTTGTCATTACCCATGCCAGCAGTCATTGTGCCCTGGGAGCACCCGAGGGCAGGCCCTGTGTCCTCCCTTTCCATCCTCAGCTTCTGTCATAGCCCATCTCTGTCACCTCAGGCCAGCTACACCCTCAGCAAAATGACAGGTCAGATTAGGAGTTTTCTTCCTGAGAACAGTAAGTGAGGCGACCCAGGCAACCCTCCCCACTGTCTGGAGAGCTCCATCCAGGCCAGAGCCAGCCAGATTCCTATCTCCTGCTCTCCTTCCCCAGGCCGGGGCTTCCTTTCTGCTGAGGGTTCAGGCCTTCATTCTACAAGCTGTTTCCAGGGCCTAGCTCCTCATGCAGGGAAGGGGCCTCAGGAGAATGTGTGGTCCCACACAGGGGAAGCCAGGAGGCAGCAGGAGCCCGAGGGGTGGGCTCAGACTGGCCTGGCAGAGAGGTCAGTTCACTTCAGAATGCCTGCCTTCTCTAGCCAGCCTCAAGCAAATCAAAACTTCCAAGATGAAGAAACTTCATCTTGGAGTTTTTCAAGAGCTCAGTGTCTTTACAAAAAGGAAATGTGTGTAATCCCCCAGTTTCCCTAACAAAAAAAAACAGTTCCAGCTTCAGTTCCTTATTCTCTTCTTCATCCCAGGAACTGAAAAAGGAACAGCACTGAGAGAAAAATATCTGAAACAGCCAAAAGGAAGCCTCCTAGCCAGGCAGCCAGACTGCCGGCCTAAAACCCCATCCTAAGCGCCGAGGGGGGCTCACAGAGGAAATCCCCTCCCAGGGTCTGTCTGGGCCCCACAGTGCCGAGTGACCCACCAGCTTCCCTCCTGTACCAGGGCCCCAGTATGGGACGGTGGAGAAGGCCTGGGTGGCCGTCATGGCCGAGGCGGAGAAGGTGAGCGAGCTGCACCTGGAGGTGAAGGCCTCACTGATGAACGAGGACTTCGAGAAGATCAAGAACTGGCAGAAGGACGCCTTCCACAAACAGATGATGGGCGGCTTCAAGGAGACCAAGGAGGCTGAGGACGGCTTTCGGAAGGCGCAGAAGCCGTGGGCCAAGAAACTGAAAGAGGTGCATCCGCCCCAGGGCCTGCCCCGCCCACAGGCCGCCCCCCACCCCACCTGCCGCCTGCTTCCCCTGGCCCCTCTCCTGCCCTCCCCGGGGTTCCTGCCACTGCCTAGGCACAGGAGGTGTGCTGAGTGCTTCGTGTGCCATTTTTACAGAACCCTAATCCACCCATTTTCCTGTCCTAGGAGCAGGGTGAGAGCCCACACACAGCCTAGAGCTCAAAACTGAAGCTCCCACCCCCCACCCCCTGCTCCATGTCATGAACCTTCTGGTCTATCAGAATAGTAAGTCCTCAGTTGCCAACGGTTATCTGAGATGAAACTGTTGTGGAATAGTGCTTTTTAAATATAAGCAAGCTTCCTAAAACCCAGATTCCCAGGCCCCACCTCTGGAGATAAGTGGTCAGGAGGTCAGAAGTGGGGCCTCTTCATGCTCAGGTTTAGTAATCTCCCGAGGGATGCTGCGCCCACTGGTCTGTGGACTACATTTTGAATAGCATGGTTTTAGAAGAGCTGTTGCTGGCACACAGAAACGTTCTCAACCGCTAACAAGGCCACCCCCAACCCTGAACTTTTAAATGGTTCTTTCTCTTACATGAGTTTTTCTCTCAAATTCACAATGATGCTGATACTCATTTTTTTTTTTAAGTAGCAAGTGGAAACCATTGAGTCTCACCCAGCCTTGGTTCTCCAGAGACTATCATACCTACGCCCCAGCCCTTAGCATAGGCAGACCTGGAGCCTGGCCCTCCCCCATTGCTCAGGGTACCCCCATTTCCTACCGGTGCCACTTCCTACCAGTCCCGACCCCATCAGGGGCTTTTCTCAGGAACCCCACTGCCTTCCTCCCTCTCTGAGAGTCACCCTGAGCAGACTTCCGTCTCCGGGTTGTGACAACAGGCTTCCCTTGTCTACTCCATGTCTTGTCCTCTTTGCCACATCCCCTTTCTCTTCCTTCTTGTCTCTGGTCCTGTTTGTGATGACAAACTCCCTCATGAAGCTCTGGTTACAAACTCAGCTTTCTGCTCTAGAATGAAATCTGCGACTGGCTCAGTTAAGAAGCATCTATTAAATTATACACATACACACACATCTATATCTGTAGCTTTGTGTGTGTATTTATGTAAAATAGTCATTAAAAATATGGAATGTGGCCTATAACCCTTTCTCCCAACGCTACACTTCTCTTGTGTTAGGTTTCCAGCTGCTTGGCCAGCTCTTCCCTCAGACCCACACCTCCATCACAATCTCACTCCAGGTCATATGTATGACTTTCTCCAGCCATTCTACGTACGGCTATAGCCCAGACCCACCAATGCACCTGCCTCTCTTCCCTGCTTTCTTCTCCTCCTCAGCACTTGTCACCTTCTCACTTACTCTGTTCCCTGTTTCTTGTAGCTGTCTCCCCCAGCTAGATGGTGAGCTGCGTGAAAGCCAGGCTCTTTGTCTACCACTGTACTCCTTCTGCTTAGACAGTGTCTGACAACAAAGCAGGCACCCTGTCAATATTCGCTGAATGAACTCCTCTGTTTTAACTTGCTGTGATTATACTGAACATACAGCTTTGTACCTGATCTTTCCTGTCTTCTTAAGAGCACAGGCACTGCCCACAGTCGGTGTAACCTTGAGTGAGGATTTTGACTTTTAAATATGGTGTTTGGGAACTCCTTCTCCCTATAGGTAGAAGCAGCAAAGAAGGCCTACCACGCAGCATGCAAGGAAGAGAAGCTGGCGATATCCCGTGAGAACAACAGCAGAGCCGACCCGTCCCTCAACCCTGAGCAGCTTAAGAAACTGCAAGACAGAGTAGAGAAGTGCAAGCAGGATGTTCTTAAGGTAAATCGTGTGGGGTTTTTTTGCATGTTGAGAGCATGTGCCTCACCTGTTCACATGTCTGGCATGCCATGAGCCTCTGTCACTGCTCAGTCAGATGCGTGGACAGATGGCTGCATCAGTGAGGTCACCGTCACCTCACCACAGCCCTGAGTGCCGCCTCAGGATGGGGCGGAACCGAGCACTGGGCAGGCAGGGTGTGGGGTGGCTGGGGTGGCCGCAGGCAGGAGGTGGGAAGGACTAGCTCGTGAATGTCAACAGCAGGGAGCTGACGGGTGAGCAGGTATGGAGGCCTGTGAGGACCAGTGGGCTTGACAGTCAGGCCAAGTAAGGAGCTTGGGACGTTGCTGACAGAGAGCTGCTAGAAAAACCTTTAAAAGCCTGGGAAGGGAAGGCAGATGTGAGCAAGGGTTCCGGAGCCCTTGGCTCCCAGCTTGGCCCCTGGTCCCACTCCCTTCCTGTGCCCTATTCCAAGGACTGGTGGTGGCTAGAGGCTGTCACCGTCAAGGGCCTGCCCTGCTGCAGTGTCCACAGAAGGAAGTCCCAGCCTGGGTTTGAAGAAAGAGGTGAAATTAGAGATGAGTGAGCACTGAGCTTCAGGACTAGGGGGTGATGCCCAGAGGGGAAGCAGGAGTCCTGAGCCTCAGAAGAGCCTCTGAGGGAATTAGGGGAATTAGGCGGCAGCATCTCTGTTTTGTGACGGAGGACATGGAGGACCCTCAGAGTGGTTCAGTCTCGTGCCGCCCAGTGATGGGAGCGTGGGAGAGCTGTGCCCTCTGTGATGCTCCTCACTGCTGCCCCCAAGTGGGGGCAGAGAAGCTGCTCCAGAGGCAGCAGGGCCGGGCCTGAGGCCTGGACTTGGTCTTAAAAGCAGAGAGTCCTGCAAAAGCTCAGGGAGGGTCCACTCCCTGCTCAGAAGGCCCTGTATTGTCGTCAGGAACAGAAGAGCAGAGAGGAAAGGCCAACCCACCCATCCATGATCAAACCCCATTTTCAGGGTCTTGAGAGTGGGAACAACTGTGATAAATGGGTGACCCCAGCCCTGCCATCCCTCCCTTCACCCTAGGAGGCTCCATCATGTTGATGGTCCCCTTAACTGTCAAAGACATATGGGGGGCAGGGAAGACTGTGTAGGTTTCTGACCCCAGGCACATGCCTGCAAGGAAAACATGCTAACTTTAGACTTGTCACACTGTCCCTAAACACCCTCGAGAAAAGGCTACACCTATTTTCATATTTTCTTTCTGGTGAAACCCCTTCTTGAGGACAGTCGGGGAGGAATAACTGTGTGTCGGGGGGTGTCACAGGGGAGGGGGTTGGTGTCGTGTGCTGGAGGAAAGGGAACCAGGACTGTCTGAATGTCTTGGTGCAGCTCGGTGTCTGTTGTCTGTCACCTTAAGTATCAGGATACTGTGAAGTAGAAGTATTCTGTTTGTGGAAAGGAAAGTGAGGCTCCCAGAAAATTCACGGCACAGGTCTCCATGGAGCTCAGAGTCCTGTGATCCTGCCTTAAAGGCAACCTGGGGAGCCCCTGCTGCTGTGGGCAAGACCCAGGGCCCAGCCCTTCCCCATGCGGGAGAGGACATGGTCACTGGCTCTGAGGGCCTGCCTGTTCCCCAGTGGCTGCCTTCTGGGGTCTTACTCCAGAAGAGAGGCCTGGCAGATCCCAGGAGTGTGGTTGTGTTTCAGAAGTGGAGGGGCTGGGACTTGAATTTGGAGTTCTGTCAGACTCTGGAGCTTGTGCTCTTCAGGTTTTAGAATCTAGGGGGGACAGGGGACTGAGACACTTTTGCCAAGGGTGTCTTTGGTGGTGGAGAGGGCCTCAGGACGAGCCTGGGAGGCCTGGGTGTGTGGGGGGTGGGGAGGGCTGTTCACAGACCATCCTGGGGGAGAGGAGAATGCCCTCCAGGAGCCAGGTGGGGCCTTAGTCCTCTAGGCAGGAACTTAGGGGTGCAGAGGAGACAGATTGGGGTGCTTCTTGGGTGCAGGGTCACCCACGGTGGCAGGCTTCATGTTGTCACCCGAGGAGCAGTCTGGCTGCTGATGGAGTCGGATCCGGTGGAGGGATATGAGGACCCGGAGGAGGACAGGCTGGTGCAGAACCAGGCTCGCTCGCTCTCGGTCAGAGGGAAGCGGGCTGAGTGGAGCTGAGTCCTCATTTGCGCCTGGCCTCTCGCAGAGCAGAGAGAAGTACGAGAAGTCTCTGAAGGAGCTGGGCCAGAGCACGCCGCAGTACATGGAGAGCATGGAGCAGGTGTTCGAGCAGTGCCAGCAGTTCGAGGAGAAGCGCCTGCGCTTCTTCCGGGACGTCCTGCTGGAGGTGCAGAAGCACCTGGACCTGTCGAACATGGCCAGGTGAGTGCCCTTCGCCGGGGAGCACGGGGTGGCGCTTTTGCGTGGAGCTCGGCTGTCGCTCTCCAGACCTGGGGTGGCGGTGGTCTCAGAGCCCGCCTGTGGCCCTGCGGGGTCCTGCTGTCCAGGATGGCTGCTTGCTGGCCCAAGTCCGATGGCCTCCTGCCACGCTCTGCCAGCTCCGGGTGCAGGGCTCTGCATCTGGGCAGTGAGGGAGGGCCGCAGCTCGGACTGGCTGCAGTGACGCGCTTGAAATCAACCCGGGAGCAAGTCCAGTAGTCACTGGCTGGTGCACCTAGCCTGGGGGTGGCCTTACTGTGAGGACCTTCACAAGCTCCTTCCCATCCAGAGCAGCTCCCTGCCAGCCTGCTCCTGGACCTCAGGGGCTGGGGGCCTTGGGCAGCACAGCCCGGGAGCCTCAGTGCTAAATGGAGACACAAGGCCGAGATAGTTCTTCCCCACTTTCCTCATGGTCCTTTTTCCTTTTGATCCTGTGACACCTTCATCGGGGCAGAGGTCTGTGCTAACCCAGGCCTCGACTTGTCATCCACACAGCCGAGCCATTTAGAAATGACTTACAAGTCAGCTTGTCGTCAACAGGGAATTACCTTCTTTCTGTCTCCTCGGGAGTTGGTGATGGACAGGGAAGCCTGGTGTGCTGCGATTCATGGGGTCGCAAAGAGTCCGACATGACTGAGCAACTGAATTGAACTGAACTGAATATTTAAAAAAAAGCAAAGCGTGCAGTCGTTGTTCAGCTGCTGTGCCGACGATTAATGGAGCGCTACAAGTGCCTGTGCAGTTGGTGGCATTGTTCCCCATCTCGGGGATGAGGAAGTAGAGGCTAGGCCTGCTTTAGTCACTTGCCCAGCTTCCCTGGTGGCTCAGAGGGTAAAGCATCTGACTGCAATGCAGGAGACCCAGGTTCAATCCCTGGGTTGGGAAGATCCCCTGGAGAAGGAAATAGCAACCCACTCCAGTACTCTTGCCTGGAAAATTCCATGGACTGAGGAGCCTGGTGGGCTGGAGTCCATGGACTGAGCAGTATTTGTATTTGTAAGGCTACCCTGCTGGCAGAGGCGGGGTGGGGCTGCGGGGCTTCTCTGTGTGGAGTAACTGCCTTGCCTCACTTAGTCCTACAAGCCACCCTGGGGAGCAGATAGTCTAACAGTGTCCTAGGGCCGCCATCATAAAATACTGATACCTGGGCAGCCTACAACAACAGAAATTTATTCTCTCGCAGTTCTGAAATCAAGGTGTCAGCGGGCCTCGCTCCCTCTGATGGCTCTGGTCTAGGGGAGGATCCTTCCCTGACTTGTAGACGCATCCCTCCAGTCACACAGCCATCTTCTGGGTCTTCACATCATCCCCTCTCTGTCCCTGTGTCCCAGTTTCCCCCTTTTTGTAAAAAGGTGGGTTTCTTAATTTACAGATTACCTCTGTAAAGACCCCATTTCCCAACAGGGTCTCATCCTGAGACCCCTGGGGTGACACCAGCAGTATCTGTTTTGGAGGACACGGCTCACCCCGTAACAGGTGGATTGTGCCCACTGGACAGAGGAGGGCACAGACCCCAAGTTGGGGAATGTCTGCCGGCCACACAGACCAGAAGCGAGAACTCCGGGACCCGCGGTGGTTGTCCTCCTGTCCCTCACAGGCAGCTTCCTAGGGAGGCGGGCCACTCTGGGCTGTGGAGCAGAAGCAGGAGTCCCCCCAGCTGGCCGACGGCATGTGCAGCCCCACAGCATTGGCCAGTCTTCAGTTGCTGAATGGAAACTTACCAGCTTTTTTGAAGGGATGAGGAGGGACTTTCCTGACACTCAGTTGTGGACGTGGTGAAATGGAACCACACAGACTGGGGGCCCTTGTGGCCCAGATGTCAGCACCTTTTGTATTATCTGACACAGAACAAAGCCAGGTTATTGCCTCCTGGTTTGATTTGTCAGAACCTGAAGCTGTGGCTTCTACACCACAGTTGTCTTTCCCCTTCTGTGTGCATCACGGCCAGATGACTGTCCAGCAGCAGGGTAGGCATCTTATCTGCACTCTGATGTTGACCCTGGTGTGGCTGCAGACTGGTGCTGGCTCTGGGCAGGCCCTGGGCAAGGCTGACTGGTGGCCTTCTCTTCCTTCCAAAACAGTCACGCTTCTCTCTCTGATTTAGCTACAAAAACGTTTACCGTGACCTGGAGCAGAGCATCAAAGCCGCCGACGCGGTGGAGGACCTGAGGTGGTTCAGAGCCAACCATGGGCCAGGCATGTCCATGAACTGGCCACAGTTTGAGGTAGGAGAACCCGCTGGCCTGGGTGGGATCTGGGCCCACAGCACCGAGTCCTACACTTTCTCCTTCCAGCTCAGAGTTGGCCTGTGCCCTGTTGACGTGGCAGTGTTTGCACATGGCCACCTTAGAAACCAAGCAGATGTTTGGTGTTCCAAGGGGCTTTGGGCACTGCTGAGGGGCCTTCTGAGTCTCTGGCAAAGGTGCAGTTACATTCTTTGTGAGAACTTTGATGGTCCCCTGTTGACCCGCGGCATTCCCTTGGTGGAGAGTCCCTGGCAGTCCCTGCTCAGCCCTGCAGGACAGCCAGGGAAGGAGTGGCCACAGTGCTCCAGGCCTGACGGGCCATGGACACCAGCTCAGTAGCCGCTAGTCCAGGGCGGGAGGGGGCACAGTCTCAGAGTGCACGTTCTTACACAGGAGGGTCTTTTCCTTAGTTCCTTAGATAAATTCAGTCAGCTTTGGTGCGGGATTAGCTTTCTTTCTCATTTTCACGGGTCCAAGCTATCCAGTGGTTTAACATGTATATTCAAGGGCCTGGAGCCCTCAGGACTCTTCCAGTCTGCAAATTGGGTTCCCAGTACATGGGCCCCTGAGGGTCGCAGAGAAGGCAGTGGCCACAGTCCCAGCACCCTGCTCTCTGGGGGACAGGGCTCTCCCCACATCATGGTAAATCAGGGGCTGGGGAGGCTCCACAGGGGCACAGCTGCTGCCTCCCCCGGGAGGGGCTGAGGCGACCCCTCTGCGCTGGGCCCCAGCCACCTGGCTTCCTCTGACTCGTAACGTCCAGAGCCCAGGACGCACTCAGACCCTGCCTCCCCACTTACGCACTGTGGGACACTGAGCAAGTCCGTTCCCCTGGCTGCGACTCAGTCGTCCCACGTGTAATATGGGGATGACAGTGGCATCCATCTTCCTGGTGGCCGGAGCTTCAGTGACCTGGTCCATACAGGGTCTTGCCCCGGGGCCCCTCACAGAGAACCTTGTCTAGTCCCATCCTAGCTTGGCGTCTTTTCAGCCCTCATACCAGTGCCTTTTTTCTGGAGCTTCTCAAGAAAGCTTCTCCACATGACGATGTGGGTCCTACAACTGAGCCCTCCCCTTGCACCGTCCTTAAGACCCCTGCCCCCAACAGGGGCCAAGAGCAGAGGCCTGGGGCCTTCCCAGGTGGAAGTGGTCCTGGAGGAAAAAGCACAGCCTCATTTCTCCTCCCCCTGATGAGGGGGAGGGCACTGGTGCACACACCTGGGTTCTGGAGACCCCTTGAGATATGCACCCCTCCAAGCCATGATCCCTTAGGACTGCAGGTCTCTACCCAGAGAATAGAATGGTCTGGAAAGGAACACTTGACAGGCAGTCTTGCTGGCATGGGTGTCCTGGCCAGAGCCTATGGGGGCTCTTCTCTATGGGCCCCTTGAGCTGGAATGCATGCCTGCATGTGGCACATGCTTGCAACTCTTACGGGGTCCTACTTGACTTTCTCTAATGAAATTATTTGTTTTTATTTTCCATGCCACAAGGATGAAGTAAGTTCCTATTTTATGGCTAACTTGTTGAATTCCCAACCTCCTGTGGTGTGGTCAGTGCCTGTGGGTCTATGTGTGGCATCCACGGCCTGGCTCTGGTTAACCACAGCATGTGCTGGTTAAAGAACCAAGGCCGCAGAATAGCCCAGGCTGTGTGGTTATCCATGTTAACAGCAGGCCCTTCCCTTCACGGTCAGCCAGCTGTCAATCACACTGGCCCTTGGAAGCCACCCTGTCAGGACTGATTTATATTCAAAAGGTCACTATGGGGACTCTGAATTCCAACTGAGTTCTCAGTCAGCTTGTTTCAGTTAAGAAAATAGGTGACCTAAGTTTGGGATTGGGGGCCCAGGTCTGCCACAAACTGTACGTGGGCAAGTCACTTTTCTTTCTGGGCCTCAGTTTCCTCAGGTGACAAATTGGCAGTTATACTTGATGTTCCTAAGGTGGCTTTTGTAACTACATGTCAGCGCAGCCGTGGGCTCAGTCATCCCAAATATCAATTCAGATAAAGTGATTTGATAATGGGTGAAGTGGGTTGGGGGGAAGAATTCATCACATGTGTATATACACGTGCTGTTCTCCAGCACAATTTATAAAAGCCTGTTCACATGCTGGGAACAGTGAGCCTTCGGGGACATAAACACTGTGCTTTGTTACCCCACACGTTGCTCAGGTGGAAGAGGGCAGTGGCGAGTGCCACCCCTCAGGGTCCTGAGGGGTGCGGGAGCCCCCTGCACCTGATTCTGTTTGCACCTACAGCCCGTTTCCCAAGCCACAGGCTGGCTCAGGTCCCGCACCCAGCTCTCCTGCTTCACTGGGCACCAGTCAGTCAGGAGATGGATGGGAGGGTCTTTAGCACCGAATGCCAGCCCCTCGGAAGGACTCTGTCTGCTTTGGAAGTGTGAGGAAACTTGGCGAGGCCTGGAGGCTGAGTGTCACGGGGCTGGGGTGGGATTGGACAGGGGGTACTCCTGAGTGTCGGCCCCAGTGTTCTTATCACCTGTCTGTCCCTGGAGGCTGGGCCCCCCCAAGGAGTACCCACCTTGCACGGCGAGGAGGGTCAGTGGTGGGTGTCACGAGCCTGGGATCTGCTAGGAAGCAGGGGAGAGCAGACGCAGTGAGGTGAGACTCCACACTGCGCGGGGCCGGCCACTGGCTTGCAGCCGTGGTGTTAGGCTCATGTGGCCTCAGACGAATGAACTTCCTGATTCCTCTCCCCTGGTGCCTGTTGCTCAGGAGTGGTCTGTGGACCTGAATCGAACTCTCAGCCGGAAAGAGAAGAAGAAGAATGCTGATGGTGTGACCCTCATGGGCATCAACCAGACTGGTGACCAGGCTTCGCAGAACAAGCCCAGCAGGTGGGCACTGGGCACCTCCGTCCCTGGCAAGGCTCCCCGGGTCCTCTGCCGGGGCTGGAACGCCCCGACCCGGGGAGACTCCCCAAAGGGGCCCTGCAGGGAACCCCGGGGCATCTTTCCAGACACTCTGCTGGGCAGCAGCCAAGGGCCTCTCTTGGGAGAATCTTCATTTCATTCAGTGCCAGAGCTGTGGAAAGATTCGGAGAAGGAGCCTTTGTCACAGAGCACTTTGGGCCCCTTGTGATGGAAAGAACTGATGCAGGGTGCTGTCCACTGTGTGTCCCCTGCAGTGCACACGGGCAGGTGGAGGTGACTGGGGGGCGTCCTTCATGTGGAGTCAGGGACCCTGGCCAGGTTTGTACTTACTTTCCTGTGCCATACGCAGGTGCCTGATTCAAGGGTGGGGCACTCGTTGTCCAGTGCCCCCTTTTTCAAATTACCCCTGCTATTATTTCTGAGTTTGGGTCAAACAGGTGGCACTGAGGTCCTCAGCTTGAGGAGGATCGGAGTTCCCAGCAGATAAGCGTTGTTGTCCTCCATAGAGTCGAGGCTGCCACTGCCCCAGGGCCCCAAGACCTCCATGCCCTGCTGAGTGATAACACACCTCAGGCTCCGGCCCTCCTGGGAAGGGTCAGCATGGTTCCAGGGGCCTTCGGTGGTCCTGGGCACCGAAGCCCCCACCTGTGCTCCCTAGGTTGATGTGGCTGCTCATCACTCAGCTGCCGTGCCAGTGCCTGGGCAGATAGGCTTGGCCAAGTGACTGCAAGTGTGAGCACGTGCCAGGGGTCAGGCCAGCACCTAGAGGAGGGGGTAGGGTGGTCCATACCGGCCAGGGCTGCTGCACAAATTCAGCTGCGCAGCACCAACCCCCTCTCAGAAGGTCAGCTGGAGAAAGTTGCCAAGGAAGAGGGGAGGCCTGGTGGCCTCAGACATGAAGCCTAGACGTAGGCAGCAGGCAGGCGTAGGCCCAGTGCCCCGGTCAGACCTGAAACCTTTGCAGCAGTGGCTGGCCACTGTGGGGGGTCCCTCTGGTGGCATCTGAGGCGCGTCCTCTCCTCCTCTCCCCCACCCTGGCTGAGCCATCCACCCAGCGCTTAGCGTGCCGGCTCCATGCTGCCCTGGCTAGGAGGTGGGAGGTGGTGCTGGCCTGGGCAGCCCTGCCCTGTGGCTTAGCCATCGGGCCTGCCTGCTCAGAGCTCCACGGCGGGGTCCCCAGGCTCTCGGGGCCCATCTTATCTCTTTACCGTCTTGTTCAATGCTCAGTACTTGTAGTCACTGCATTTCATCATGTGGCTGTCTCCGCTTAGGCCAGGCTGCAGAGTTCTCTTTGGTCCCCTCTGGGCCTGGCACACAGTAGGTAGTTAGCAGACAGGTTTTTCTCTCTCTGGAGCACCGAAGGGGTCCTTCCTTTCTTCCTAGAAAGGATTATTCAACATTCTTTGGTTCTGATCTTGGAAGTTGCAGACCCAGAAGACCCAGGGAGGAGGCTATTGGACCCTTTTGTCATCAGAAGGAGAGGGCGCTGGGGGCTGTGGGGTCTGGTGAGCCTCAGGCTGCTGGCCTGCCAGCCCCCCGCAGAGGGCCAGACGGAGGGCTGCGGACAGAAGCCCTGAGCCCAGAAGCACTTGTGCTCCAGCAACAGCCTGTGCACGTCCAGGGCTCCTGTTTAGGACAGAATGTGTTTAGACACAAGGAGGGAAAATGCAAGTCGTCTTCTTTCTTAGATGCTTTAAGCACATTCAAGAGCCAAAGTGTTGCTAAGTGTTTCACTAAAACAATCTTTCTGCTCCAACAACATACTCCTCCCATTTGACATGGAGCTGATTTGTCCCTTCAAATCCTGAGATCTTGCAGCTGGGAGCACCTGGGACCGTGGGGGCCGCCGAGTTGGGGTCCCCTGAAAGCTCTCTCTCTCCCCGTAGTGACCTTAGTGTCCCGGGCAACCCCGAACGGTCAGCGCAGTCACTGTCCAGCTACAACCCCTTCGAGGATGAGGACGACACGGGGAGCACCGTCAGTGAGAAGGAGGACATTAAGGCCAAAAAGTTGGTGAACAAACGTTTCCCTCTGGCTTCCGTCTCGCTCGATCTCTCTCTCCTCTCTCTCTGTCCAAGGTCTCGCCCCCTCGGCACTCAGGGCAATGCATGAGGCCTGCAGGAGGCAGCCTGGCTGGTGGACGGTCTCTGGCTTCTCGATTTCTCAGGGAGGGAGGCACCAGTTAACAGTCCGTGGTTGCTTTTTCTCTGCCCTGTGTTAACCCTCGTCAAGGTCCGGCCCATGAGCACAGGAACACGGGTGCTGCTGAGGGGCCCGTGCTCGCAGAAGGAGTGCCAGCCCGGCCCAAGGGCTCTCCGGGCAGGGTCTGAGGCTCTGGGCAGGGCCTCAGGCCTCTGCCAGCCCCACACTCAGGGCCGCTGGGTCAACCCTTTCTTGCAGCGTGAGCAGCTACGAGAAGACCCAGAGCTACCCCACGGACTGGTCAGACGATGAGTCTAACAACCCATTCTCCTCCACGGATGCCAACGGGGACTCCAATCCCTTTGACGAGGACACCCCCTCGGGGACGGAAGTGCGGGTCCGGGCCCTTTATGACTATGAAGGGCAGGAGCACGACGAGCTGAGCTTCAAGGCCGGTAGGTGGGCGCCGGCGGCCCCTGAGGCCACTGCTTCCAGCCGGTCCATCCGTTCGGCCACGCTGGGTCTTCGTCGCTGTGCACGGGCCTTCTCTGTTTGCAGCAGGCAGGGGCTCCTCTCTGCGCTGGCTTCTCTTGTTGCAGGGCGTCGGCTCTAAGTGTGCGGGCTTCAGTGCCTGCGGCTCCCAGGCTCTGGAGCCTGGGCTCAGGAGTTGTGGTGTAGGGGCTTAGTTGCCCCACAGCATGTGGAATCTTCCCAGGCTGAGGATCTAACCCACGACCCCAGCTTTGGCAGGTGGATTCTTACCCACTGCACCAGCAGGGAAGTCCCAGCCTGCTTTTTTTAAGTCTAGTTCCATTTGTGTGTTCCCCGCCCCATCCCACCTTCCATTTCAAACATGGCAGATGCTCAACATTAAAGGTTAGAAGACAGCGAGGCACCCCGTGCCTTTGCCCCAGCCAGGCTAAGGCCTGCGCATAAGAGACATGGATCCAGGCCATCCGGCTTCCCCGCAGGCTCCCTAGAAACAGTGCCTGCGAGTCCCCAGGGGAGCCTTTCTTTAGAGGCCCACAGCGGGCAGAGGGTCCCCTGGCACAGTGGCAGCGTCCCCACGGCCCCCAGAGCCTCTTCTCGGGGCTTTGCCTTCCATCCTTCCCTGCAGCCCTGCCACCAGCACAGCTTCGGGTTTTATGAAACAGCCTAGATCCTGATCATATCAGCTTTGTGTGTGGAAATTTTCTATCCTGGTTTCTATTTATTTATTTAATGCCGGTCACAGTTCAGCAAATGGCTTGCAACCCTCTGTCTGAAGAGCACTGTCTTAGAGCCTATCCCCAGAGGTTTGGTTGGCCTGGCTCCAAACAGGCCAGAAGGGAGCCAGGGTTCTTCCTTCTGCCTTGTCCCCGCTCAGAGCCACCCCAGATGCAGCATCACCCCTAGCCCTCCACTGCAGGGGGTGCTGGGCCCTAACTCAGCCAGCACAGGCTGAAGTGCGCCCTGCACTCTCCATCTCTGGGGCAGACCCTGAATCCGACCTCCCACCCACCCTGGCTGAGAGCTGTGTCTGATGGAGGCCTTCTCTTGGCCTTCAGAAAGTAGCCAGCTACCCACTCCACCCCAGAGCTGGTCATAGAGTGACTCTGGCTGCTTCCGGGAAGTTCTCGTGTGTCTTTAAACACCTTTGTCAAGTTTTTTTTTTTTTTTTTTGGCCATGCCTTGTGGCTCTCAGGATCTTAATTCCCCAACCAGGGATCAAACCCATGCTCCCCTGTAGTGGAAACGTGGACTCCTCACCACTGGACCAGAAGGGATTTCCCTAGGGTTTTCCAACATCCTTGACTGGGGTTGTCCGCCGCCGCCCCCCCACCCCCTGCCCACTGTGTTTACTTTGTTTGTTGATTGATTGATTTTTAACTTTTTATTCTTTCTGAATTTTTTTTAAAGTTTTGGCCCTGTTGTGTGACGTGCGGGCTTGTAGTTCCCCCATGAGGGATTGAACCTGGGCCCCAGCAGTGAAAGCGCCAAGTCCTAACCACTGGACCGCCAGGGAGTTCCCTCTAAATCTTATCTTTTGGACTTGTCAGCAATTTTATAGATTTAAAATGTCTCGTTATCAAAAGCAAACTGAAATGAATCTTTCTAATCACCAGTTTACATTTTTACGACTTGGCAGGTTCCGTTTAGTTTTGTCTTGTTTGTATAATTTTCTTTCCCCCTGCCCGAGGTCACATTAGTTTCCAGCCACACTGCTTCCTCCTGTCTCGAGCGTGCCCTGGCTGCTCCCCACTTCTCTGGGCCTGGGGAGCCTAGGGTCTCCACCTGGTGAGCTTCCCACCACACGCCCCCCTCTCAGAGCTGCTGCCCATCTGCTCCTGGCAGCCTCCCTGCGAGGCCAGATGAGAGAGAGACCAGGTGGCCATGTCAGCCCTGCCGGAGCACAGGGGACCCCCTGGGGTGGGAGGAAAGGGGGTTTCCCACTTGTGATGCCCACCCTGTGGCCCCCTGCATCAGCTCCTGATGTTGCCGGGTCAGACTCGCAGGAGCACTGGTGCTGACGAAGTGGGTCCCCAGGTGGACAGAGAGCCATCTCTTGTGGGAGTCAGGGCAGCCACGAGGACCAGGTGCTTGCTACGTGCTGGCGCCAACCCAGGTCCTTCCGGGTTTCACCCCTAGTCTCCACAGCACCTCTTAGTCTCCCTGCAGCTCTGGGAGCCCAGGTATTGGCCCTGCAGGCCTCTGGGTCTGTGCCACTGCTCCACAGAATGAGTCAGGGGGATGCTGCTAGACAAGGCATAATTGCCTGAGGAAAACAATGCAGCTAAGCCTGAAAAGTGAGCCAAAATGCCAATGAGAAACGCAAAGCTGTGAACTGAACAATAAAGACGACACTTCAGCAGGCCTGTCTTCTGCCGGTTCTCAGAGCTGTCCCTGCGGGCTGGTCACCAGGCCACTCCTTCCTGTCCCCTGGCTCTGGGCTGCTCTGGCCACTCTGAACAGGCGGAGGCCAGGCCTGTACCTTCCTCCCCCCGACCCCTGATCACACCCGTGGTCTTTGTCCCTTTGCCTGTCTCCTTGAGAGGCCGGGCTCCATCTGTCCCTTTCTCATCTCCGTATTCCCTCCACCACCCAGGGCCTTGGTGCAAAGTAGAGGCTCCTCCTTGCCTGGGTAAACAGAGGCTGAGTCAGACTGCACAGGCACAAATAGCCGCGGGGAGCGCCCAGGACCATGCCAGCGCGCTCTGGGTGCTGGGAAAGCTTGGTTTCTTTAAGTCAGAGGACAGACGCTCTGGGCTCGGTGCTGGGGAGAGGAAGGGGCCTCCACGCCTCCCACAGCCGCAGTCTAGACACAGACAAAGGAAGGCGCGGAGACCGCGGCAGCAGTGCTGGAGGAGATTCAAGAAGACCGCGTGGGCCAGGCCGGGGAGGAAGAGCTGCGGGAGCGTGGCACGGACCCTGGGGGGACGAGGCCTCGGACCTGGCCCGGGGCAGTCAGAGGGCAGGATCCTGCTGTCTCCACAGGAGCCCCACGGGCAGCTGAGAACGCCGTGCTCAAGGGGCACTGTGTGAGAGAGGGGAGTCTTTAATCTCTCAGAGCCACCCCCCAACTAGACACACAACTTCAGATGTGGCTTAGCGGAGGAAGAGCCAGGCCCTCATCACGCCAGGAGCATGCACGCACCTCCCACCCACTTTAGAGACCCTCAGCGGGCCCAGGGGCTCACCAAGACCGCTCCCTTTTTGTCTTGCAGGGGATGAGCTGACCAAGATAGAGGACGAAGACGAGCAGGGCTGGTGCAAGGGGCGCTTGGACAGCGGGCAGGTCGGCTTGTACCCCGCGAATTACGTCGAGGCGATCCAGTGACGGGCCGGTGGGCTGGCTGGCGGAGGGACGGAGCGGAGGCCCAGCAGCTCTGTTAGCCGCTGGCCCTGGGCAGCGGCCCCTCCAGCCAGCCGTGCGGGCATCCACTCCTCTTCCTGCAAAAGATGATGGCTCCATTGCTCTTGGTTTCGTGGTGTCTCTTGAAGGCAGACAAGCTGATCACTTCACCTGGAACTCGGCCCCCTTGCCACAGTGCAGATGGAGAGAGCCGATCGCAGGAAGCTGCAGGACAACCGGAATCACCGCCCCGCCCCCCCGCCCCCTGTGTGTTGGCTTATCATGGATCCGTGTATTCTTGACCTTGTCTTTCCTCCTCTCCTCCACATCGATGGTAACGGTGGGCTCCACTAATCCTTGCTCCACTGACTCCTTCCCCTGACAAGTCCCATCGCCTGCTAAAACTTAAATGAACAAACTTACATGCCATTTTCTGAGTGAACACTTTGAGGTTTTTAATTTAAAGGCTGTGTACATTTACTTTTTTATATTCCCATTCTTGCATTCATTTATACTTAAATTATGGCATAGGTCTATGTCCACCGGTAGTCTTGAGGCAGTATCTCTGTTTCCATGCTGTTCTGTTAATCACCTGTGCCACTGCCTGGGGCGAGAGCCTGCAGCCTGGACAGACCATGTTTGAGGCAAGAGATTGCAGTGGAAAGATGGGAACACATGGTTGGGTTTCCATAGTGAATGCTCTCCACATTTGGGGTCTCCAAATGTGAGTTTTGCAAATAACCTTATGTAGTCCTCTCTAAAGTCGCCATATTCAAAATCTATTTTCACTCTATTTGTGCTTAAAACTTTGCTCTTGCAAATTAACAATTTTATCAGTGGTTTTTGAAAGGTTAAAATATAAGACTAACTTTTCAAGTGAATGCGTCTAGAGTTCAGATGCTCTGTATTAGACCGTCACGTCTTGGTGTATATCTGTATATACTATTTGATATTCAGAGAATCTAAAGAGTTCGTCTACTGTGTTCATGAGATTGAACGGCTTTTGACAGTGGCTTCAATTTGTAAACTGCTTGAAGACCATTCGGACATAGGCCTGGCTGGTCGGCTGGGCCCAGTGGAGCCTGCCGTAGGGAAGTCTGTTCTCACGGGCCAGCTGCGAGTCCAGCGCCCTCAGTCCAGCTGGCCTTGGTCCTCTCTGTAGCAGAACACTGTATGAAACTCCCGCGTCTTTGCAAGCAGCTGCAGATCTCACTGTCATCTGTGTTCCTCGTGAGCAAACAAAAGCTGGGTCTCATCCCACAGCACAAGGGTCTCTTCTGAGCACCCTGCGCCATCAGGGAGCAGATGGGCTGGGGCAGGGAGCTGCCCTGTAACCACGGGGCCGGCGAGGGAGGGAAAACCTTTGCTCTGTGTACCAGACATGGGCGAAATGGCTGCCGCCATCACAAGCTATGCATTTTACTCAGTGTTTCCGGTGAGCTTGATGTCTTGCTTGGAAAGTGGATGTGTGTCTGTCTGTCCTGGAAACTTACCAGCAGAATCCTCATTCCTTTGCTACAGATGTACCAAAAATTGTCAAGTCTTTTCAGTTTAGGAGTTTCTTTAAACACATAGAATTTTAGAAAAAAAAAAATAAACAGTTGATCTGGTGATTGTGACCATCTCTGTGCCACGCGTGTGCCTCCTGCTCACACCAGCTGGTGGACGTGTCTTCACTGGCGTCTGGAGCTGGACAAGACCCCAGCACAGGAGCACTGCCCAGGGTCCATGTCCCTGTCCCACCGTCCCTGCCAAGCTCAGGGCTGGGGAGTCGAGGCACCCGACCCCTCTGGGTGCTTCCCTCCCTCCAGCCTGCTTCTGTGTGTGGCCTCGGTGCCCCCAGCATGGGCAGCAGGCTGGCACTTCCCTCCCCCTCCCCGAGGCCCAGCAAGACCAGACCAGAGACCACTGACCGCCCCAGCTTCTTCGAAAACATGTCCTGAGCCCCTGCTGTGCATCGGGCCCACTTCACTGACATCGTCTGCAAAGAACTGCCCAACTCCAAACACGCTGCGAGTGAGGTGGGCCCTGCTCTCTGCTTCCGAGGAGGCGCTGAGCCCATCGAGGCTGCCCGCTGCCCCCGGCAGTCACCAGCTTCCAGTTGCAGCCCCAGGCAGCCTCCGCGAGACAAGCAGGGTCCCAGTCCCACGGCCCGCGCTGGGCCGGCCAGTCCCGGGCACTCCGTTAGCTCATGTACTGCGGTGCCAGCCCACGGAGAGGCTGGAGTCCCCACTTTACAGAAGACACCCGGTCTGAAAACAAGTCCAGTGCCCCGCCCAAGGTCCTACGACAGAACCGTAGTTCAAACCTGCATCTGCAGGATTCTTGAGGGTGAGCCCGTTCTCGCTCCCTCCATCGGTAGATAAAGAACAGGGTGGCTGAGCAGGAGGAACCCTCAGGAGTCGGGGTGAAACCTCTTTTCTCTGCTCCCTGTGCCCCCCAGAGCTCCTGCAAGGAATCCTGAGGGGCCCTCGCTGCCTGCTGTCCTCTCCTGGCCCTCAGGGTCAGCTAGAAACCTTCGCCCACACCTGGACCTTGTCCCTTCCAAGCCAGAGCAATGCCTGCCTCCCGGCTGGAGGCTTAAACTCGGGGTCACAGGCCACAGGTGCCTGGCACTGCGTCCCCCGGCCCCAGTCAGGACCCCCTGGCATCCTTGGCCACCCCTCCTCACCCTCCATGCCGGGCCACCAGGTCCCCTTTGCCTCTGTCTTCCCCAGCCCCATTGCCACTGCCCCTTCTCCCCCCGAGACCACGGCTGCATCCACACCACCCCCAGGGGACCCTCAGCAGCCCACCCCAGTCCCCCCAGCGCATGGGTGGGGGGTGGTATTTCATCCTCTGCAAGCCCCCCTGGTCATGCTCAGAAGGCAAATGACCTCTGACCTAGTGACCCGGGTAGCTGCCCCCTGTGCCCCTCACCAGCCCTTTCCCCAGACACCTGCAGGAGATCTGTGCCCCTCAGGGGTTTTCGCCTGCGCTGACTCTCTGGAGGGAGCGAGCAGAAGGGCGGGGCCACCGCCCTTAATGGACAGACTGGGGCTGCCCAGCGGGGAGGCTGAGGCTGGGACAGAAGCTGCTGAGGTCTGAGGTCTGAGGCTCATCCCCCGCCAGGCAGGGCCACTGCCAAGCACAGGGCCAGAGGATCCAGGCTGACCCCGCACTCCTGGGGGAAAGGGAGCTTCTCAGCCTGCTGCTGACGAATCAGCTACACACCAGGCCCTGTGCTGAGCACACCCCCCCTGCAAAGGACCATAGAAACCTCCTCACGATGATGAGCCCCGTTTTATAGACCAGAGAGCTTGAGTGGCTTGCATCACAGCACACAGCAAACCAGGGGCAGACGTGGGGTCTGAGCTCCAGTGCCCGGCTCCAAAGGGCGCACTCGTTCTCTAGCTTGCCGGGCCACATTCCAGAGTTTCTGGGGCCCAGACTCTGCCTATCTAACAAGTCCCCAGGAGACGCTGACCCGGGCCAAGTTCTGAGCAGGTCAGAGCTGCCTTAGGGACCTGCAGTTCCATGCGCTCCATGATTTGTTCAAACTACCAGCAGACGCTCCTAAGCCAGCTCTAGGCCACAGGAGCTGAGCCCTGGGGACCTAGCGATCAATCAGCCACAGACTGGGCCAAGGAGGCAGGGACAGATGGACAAAGAGAGCAGGGAGGGGACTTCCCTGGTGGTCGTTGGTTAAGGATCTGCCTTGCAATGCAGCGGAAGTCGGTGTGACCCGTGGTTTAGGAACTAAGGGCTTCCCTGGTAGCTCAGCTGGTAAAGACTCTGCCTGCAATGCGGGAGACCAAGGGTTGATTTCTGGGTCAGGAAGATCTGCTGGAGAAGGGCTAGGCTACTCACTCAAGTATCCTGGCCTGGAGAATTCCAGGGACCGTATAGTCCATGGGGTCGCAAAGAGTCAGACACGACTGAGCAACTTTCACTTTCACTTTGGGGAATTAAGATCCCATATGCCGCAGGGCCACTAAGCGCGTGTACAACTGCTGAGCCCAAGAGCCACAGCTAGAGAGTCCATGCACCCCAATGAAAGTTCCCCATGACGCAACTAAGGCCCAAAGCAGCCAAATAAACAGATAAGTAATCTTTTTTTTTTTTAATGTTAAAAATTGTTCTAAAAAAGAGAGCGAGCCCAGGGAGCAAGGGACATCAGGCCAGCACGACCTCCCGTCCCTGGCGAGGGGCAGGGAGGGCTCAGTGGCAGCCGGGTAGTGGAGAGAGGGGTGCCCCCAGGGTCGGACGGGCACCTTGTGTCCGCAGGCAAGTCCCTTTATATCTCTGAGCCTCAGTTTCCTCATCTGGAAAGTGGGGAAATGGTTCCCATCTTTTCTTTTTCATCATCATCTGGGGTCAACAGTGTGAACAAGCTCGTTAAAACACACAGATATAAGGCACCACTTTATGAAAGTGGTCTCACCCCTAAATGCCATCCCAACTCAAGTGGATAATAACCGAATTACGCAGACCCCAGCTGGAGATGCTGGATCCTCCCCAACCAGACGCTGGGCATGAATGCTTCCTCCAAGCCATATATTCATTCATATATGAAAATGTATATAAGAAGGCTGGACTTCCCACACCAAAACCTGATAAAATATCTTTTTCTTCTCTGAAACTTAGTCTTACAAACATGAAAAGATGAAGCCAGTGGTCAAGAGCATACGACTGTAAGGTACTGTGAGGTCGTATTCCCTGCACTCGAACTTGACTCCGAATGTGGGACCTTAATTAGTTATGTTACCTTGAGCAAAATACTTAATTTCTCTGAGCCTTGGTTTGCTCATCAATAAATGACAAGAGTATTTTGGGTTTTTTGGTTATTTAAAATGGCAATAGTAAACATTGGTATTTCAGTCTATGCCAGAACTTGTTCTAAACTCTTTGACATTTATTAACATTTAACACAGCAACACTCTGAACTATGTAATATTGTTATTCCTATTTCCATAGGTGAGGAACCTGAAGCACAGAGATGTTAGGTAACTCACCCAAGGTGTAACCGCTACCGCACGGCTAGCAAGGTTCAGACGTGGGTGGTGCAGTGCCGTCCCTGCCCACTAGGTCGCCCTGTTGGACCACGAGAGCGCCGGCCCCGGCGGGTGAGGGTGTGCCTGCCCCCAGGGCCGCTCACCTGCAGCTGCCTACCAGGACGGGAGTCGTGCCGAATCAGAGCCACCTGACCCGAGAGGCCCCGCTGTGTGCTCTGGACACCACGTTGTCACTCCTGGCGTCAAGCTCATTGGTTCAGGGACGGCGCCTTATCTTCTTTCTAGCCCCAGTGCTTGTGGAACTAAAGCGAAAAGAAATCAATCTTGAACCATCCAAAAAAACCCAGATTACACTGTTTTAGACTTCTTCCTTGACCCTCTGTGGGGAAGGCTAAGAAATGAATGAAGGAAGGAGCAGATGAACTGCATCAATAACATCGTTCCCTGGGGATTTCCCAGGTGCTAGCTCAATTGGTAAAGAATCTGCCTGCAATGCGGGAGACCCCGGATTGATCCCTGGGTTGGGAAGATCTGCTGGAGAAGCGATAGGTTACCCACTCCAGTATTCTTGGGCTTCCCTTGCGGCTCAGCTGGTAAAGAATCTGCCTGCAGTGCGGGAGACCTGGGTTTGATCCTTGGGTTGGGAAGATCCCTTGGAGAAAAGGCTACCCACTCCAGTATTCTGGCCTGGAGCCAAGAGTCAGACACGAATGAGCGACTTTCACTTTCCAGTGGCTAAGATTCCGCATTCCCAATGCAGGGAGCCTGCGTTCGAGCCCTGGTCAGGGAACCAGATCCCACATGCCGCAACCAAGAGTTCACAAGCTTCAACAGAGATCCAAGACCCCATGTGCCGCAACTAAGACCCAGCACAAACACATAAATAAATACTTTTTTAATTAAAGAAATAATAATAACATCACTCTCTGAGGAAAGGATAACTAACGCCCTGGCTTGGTGAGCAGGCTATAGCCGTGACACGCAGTGCGGCAGCTGAAGGCCACAGAAACTCAAGGGCCCGGCCCAGAGGTCTGAGAACAGACAGCCCTCAGCTCGTGGCGTTTGATCAACAAGGGGAAACCGACTGCAAGCGAGCCATGTGCAGCTTATCAGCCTCTTCCCGGTCAAGATAGCCAGGCTGCTCCTGCCCCTCTATAATGTCTTCAAATAACAATGTGGTCATTGTAAAGGGAACAAAGGTTCAGATGAAAATCTGGAAACTAAGCAAAAGTATCCAGAAAAACATTAAAGTCCTAACATGCAGAGGTAATACTGCTGATATTCTGGTGCATTTTTTCTAGTCTTTTTTCTGTATGTACACACATGAACGTGTTTGTCCTTACCGTTAACGTGTGTGTGTTTTAGAGAATTGGGATCATACTCTGAATGTGGTTTGTAGGTACCCTGCTTCATTCTTTTAATATTTGACCATGAGCGTTTCTCGTGTCCCTAAATATACTTTCACTAAAAACTTGTCTTGGGATCTTCCCCAGTGGTTCAGCAGGTAAAGAACCCACTTGCAATGCCAGAGACACAGGAGACGTGAATTCAATCCCTGGGTTGGGAAGATCCCCTGGAGGAGGAAGTGGCAACCCTCTCCAGTATTCTTGCCTGGAGAATTCCATGGACAGAGGAGCCTGGTGGGCTACGGTCCGTGGGTCACAAACAGTCAGACAGGACTGAGTGACTAACACAAAAACATGTTTCACGGCTGCTTGATATTTCCCGTGTCGTCGTTCAGTCGCTCAGTCATGTCCGACTCTTTGCGATGCCATGGACTGCAGCACACCAGGTTTCCCTGTCCTTCATCATCTCCTGGAGCTTGCTCAAACTCATGTCCATTGAGTTGGTGATGCCATCCAGCCATCTCGTCCTCTGTCATCCCCTTCTCCTGCCTTCAATCTTTCCCAGCATCAGGATCTTTTCCTATGAGTCAGCTATTTGCTTCTGGTGGCCAAAGTATTGGAGTTTCAGCTTCAGCATCAGTCCCTCCAATGAATATTCAGGGTTGATTTCCTTTAGGATTTAGGATTGACTGGTTGGATCTCCTTGAAGTCCAAAGGGCTCTCAAGAGTCTTCTTTCAGCACCACAGTTCGAAAGCATCCATTCTTCAGCTCCCAGTCATCTTTATTTCATGTGTTATAAGTCCCATATTGCTGAGCACTTCTTTCCCATTTTTCCCCATTTTTTAAGGTATAATTCACACATAGTAAAATGCTCACTGTTTAGTGTATAATTTGACAAATTCATATAGTCATGTA